AGCACTTATATATCTCGGTAAGGCATCCAAAGCCCAGCCCTTCTATGTGCCTTCCAGGGGCCTCAAAAACAAGCCTAGCATTTGAATTAAGTTAAAAGCAGGCCCTAATATATTAGAGGCAGCATTTGAAGCCCACTGGATAAATCTAATTAACCCTCCCCGGGCTCAAATTCTCTGTAAAGGAATTTTTCTATAAGCTGAGCCCATGGGAGTTGATAATCTTTTTCTCCTCGGCTTCTTAAAACCGCGGGTGTTTCTGAAAATAGACACCTCTGTTAGTGACACTGTGAGAAAGAACCGAATTCCTGATTTAAAAACAGGAGGAGGAATCAAACTGCAGAGCTGCTGCAAAATCAATATGAGAGTTACTCTGTTCTTGCACAAAGCCTTGTCCTGAAGGACGCTCTCAGGAGATAGATATATATGTATTTTTTTTCTTGAATTATTCCTTGTGTTCTTCTAAGTAGTATAAGTGATAGGCATGATGGATGCCCAGTATGACTGGATATTATTTTCAGTTGCTTCCAGCTTTGTCAAATGCAAACTGCATGGGCTCAAGTTTTCTTGGGTATTTCTTTGTCTCCTGCTCAATTTTGCAGGGAGATTTCAGCTAAAATAGCTCAACTTTTTCTGAGAGCAAGGCTAGAGCTTAAGTTGTGGCATTTGTGGCAAATATCTAAGCAAGTTACTGATATCTTCTGTGGCTCTGGATAAGTTTTCTTTTTGCACTAAATCTTGCCCTAGCAATGAAAAGCATATTGCACTTTCCCTTGAATTGCTTTGCTCTGACAGACTTATTTGTCACGTTTGGGTGACAAACATGTCAGAGGAAGGTCTAAGATCCAAACAAAGAAAGCCTTGAAAGAAGTGAGTATTACAGTGACATATCTATTAATATTCAGTTCCATAAAAAGGTCTTTTCTTGTTAATGAACACTCCAGATATTGGGATTCAAGCTGTTTCTGAGACCTTTTTGGCAGATCCGGGTGGGATAAAGGCCTGGCCTGCAAGTAAACATTTCCAAGGTGTTTCCTGAAGATCTTGTCTCGGAGGTCGTGCCGAGCTCAGCTCACGGATGGGCTGCGCAGAGGCTCACCCCCAGCCCGGGAGATGACGCTGGAAGAGCCCTTAGGAAATCCCGACGGAGCAGGGCTGTGAATAGCAGGGATGTCAGGGATGCCCCCCTGGCAGGAATGTGAGGGATGCCCTTTGAGGGGGCTCATCGGAAGCCACAGGGCTGGGAAAATTGGTCTCAGTGATGCTCCCACTCGGTCTCCTGCTCCAGGCGGCACGGGGAGGATCTGCCCCTTGGAGTTTTTAGCCTCATGGTTTCATATTCTGTTTTTTTCCCTTCTCCTTTCCTCTGTCACTGCAACCAGCTGACGTGGATTTGCTGCTCGTGTGCTTCCCGGTGTGCCCAGCCGGGACGTCCGTCCATCCCCGCTGGGATTGGGGGAGCGATACGGTCCCGCGGGAATGCTGGCCTGGCACATCTCCCATCCGCAGGGGCTGGTGACTGGACTTTCCTGCTGTGTGTCCTTGCTGTGGGCTTCACTTCACTGTCCCCCACGGTTTCTTTTCTTGTGAATGAACCGAGTTGTTAACGAAACCCCTCTGGGTGTTTATCTGTAATAAACCCTGTTGGTCCCCACCAGGTCTCTGTTGCCCTTCTTGCAAGGGGTATTTTCACGCCCTGTTGCAGCCTGCAAGAGTCTGCAGACCCTATTTGGATCCTGCTGTCACAACAACAACAAAAACGGGTATTTTAGGATTTAAGGGAACTCAGGAAATTTATCAAATGCTGCTACCTGAGGATCAGCGGCTTCCAGGAAAGGTGACATTCTGGGGATGAGATGTGCTGTGGTACCAGCTGCCTTTCTCCTTTGGGAACAGGCTTTTATTGAAACCTTGTCTTGTTTTGAAGCCCTGGAAAAAAAAAAAACAAATGTGCAGAAGAGTTTTGTCATCTTGTTGCTCTTCCTGCCAACAGGTGGGAGGCAGCAAAAGCTGTTTAGAGGAGATTTATTGCTGCTGAAATACTGCGTGTATCCAAATAGTGCTGCTGCTCTGGTGTTGGCTCCTCCCCACCAATAAGGAGAACAGATGGGTTAAGAGGAAGCAACAAATTCTCCATCAGTCATCAAATAGAGCCAAGGAATGTCCACAGCCCCCAGGGCAGCATCTCTGCCTTGGGTGTTAGTTTAAGGGCTGGGTGGCCCTCAGCAGAGCGTTCCTGTGCGGCTTTGTTTGCTCGGGATGCTTTTCCTGGCTCCGTCTCCACATCTGCATGTTCTTCCACTCGCCTGGAGGGACAAACTGAACTCCAGGGCTGCGGAGCCGCTCGTTGCAGCAGCGCAAGTTGCGGCAGGCGCAGCCAGCACCGAGGTCAGCCCGTCTGGGCCTCAGCTCCTTGTGCCGGAGCCAGCCCTGGCTCCCGCATCCGCACAAAGGCTGCCCTTATCCCGGGACACGCTCCTGGGGAGCACCAGGGCCAACGGGCTGGGAAGAGACGGGCCAGTGCAACGCAGCAAGGGGAAAGGGGGGTGTTGCTGCAATCGCAGCTGCGGTGCCTTGCCCTTGGTTTGCTGCAAGGCAGCGTTTTTGTTCCGCTGCCTGTTTTTCAAGTTTCTCCCTTTTCAAAGGAGCAGGCGTTGCAAGGCTTTGCAATGCACGTGCCTTGAAATAAGGGATGGGGAGGAGGAGAGAGCGGAGGCAGAGCTGATGGATGGGGAATTATGCTGCTGCTCAGCTCTTGTCAGCACAGATCTTCACAGGGTAATCACGGCCTTTGAAAAGAATCATTTCTCGTGATGAATCAGGTTTAACTCCTGAGAATTTGAGGTCTGTTCCCGAGAACATAACACCCCCATGAAGAACTACATGGAACAGAGGTGGGGCAGAGCATGAATTGTGCTCTCCTGGTCTCCATTTGCCTAAGGTTAGTCACGAGCCCTCTCTGCCTCAGTTTCCCCATCACCCTAACAGGATCAGTGTGACCTGTCACCCGCAGGTAGCATCGGATCTGGAAGGTGCCTCTAAGCAATTTGCAGAACAGAAGCCGAAATCCAGGTGAGCTCCTTGGTGCCATAAAATCCGTTCTCTCTGTGGAGACGCCTGCGTGCCCCAGCAGCAGGTCCCAAGGTGCCGGGGGCCGCGCGAGCCCAGGGATCCCATTTCATTCCTTTAACACTCGCTGTCCGGCTTGCTGTCCTTCCCGGCGTGCAGAATAGGAGCACGCAGGGATCTGCAGCCACCTCCAGAGGGTGAAATGTCAGCAGAGGGGATGCGGTGACAGGGTGCCACAAACACCCGGCTTTGGGAGAGTAGATGAGCTGACCCGGCGGTGCGAGAACAGGCGCAGGGCAGCTGCTATCAGCGCTAGTGCAGCCGTGCCAGCATGGGGACAGCCCGGCCATCTCGTCCCTTTGACACTGCTATTAATAGCCGTGTTCGCTGGCGCCTCTGTCACCGGAGCTGGAAATGGTTCCTCGTGGCGGAGGCCACCAACGAAGAGGGGCCTTGGTGGAGCCCACGGAGCTGCGGGAGGCAGAGGCAGCTCCAGGCCGGCCCTGCGGATGAGGCAGCAGGTTCCCTGGCGAGGGGACAAGGAAGGCTCTGGGTGCTCCAGGGCTCCTGGTGCTCCTGGTGGCCCCTGGAGCTCCAGCTGTCACCGGTGCTCCACATTCATGGGCGCTTGGCACAATGTCATCTGGAGCCCATGTTCGGCTGTGGACCCGGCACGCGCTCCGGGTGCCTCCGTGTCCGGCAGCGCGTTCAGAGCGGTGGGTTCCTGCTGGACATGAAGCAATCCCGGCCAGGGAGGTGCAAGCTGGCATGTTCAGTGCCACTTCCCTGGCCTAAAACGGAGCCCGATGGCAGTCGTGACAACCTGGGACGCAGCGGGATGAGAGGGGGAGGACATCGTCCTTGCCAGAGCCTTCATCGGGGAATGACCAGCAGCTGTCGTGAGCCACCCACCCGTCTGTGATTTGTGCAGGGGGGGATGACGTGGTGACACGGGTGACAACTGTGGTGCCAAGCGGGTGCCACGAGAGGGCGTGACGGGCCACCATGGTGGCTTCCTTCCTGCACTCTCCCTTCCTCAGCGCAGGGGCTCGGCCGGGGGCACAGCCGCCCTTGGTGCAGCCTGTTGCTCCCGTCCTGGCTCCGCGTTGGGGTATTTGGGGGAGCGCGCGGGGATGTGGCGGGCATCCCCGTGCCAGCTTGGAGCAGCCATGGCGGCAGCTGGCACGTGCAGCGTGTCCGTGGGAGGAAGGGCAGCCGCTCGGCTCCCCCGCCCGAGCTGGGGGCGG